CGCTATTATTTAACTACTTTGCCACTCCCTCCTTTGAAGCTTTCACTTTCACCAAATTGAAGCATTTAGGAATCCATCTTTGGAAATATATTGCCTTTCCCACAATTGTTAACATCCAACACATTAGTGCTCCTCACCTAACTTTGCCATTTGGATTCCTTCCAATAATTTTCATGACTCTTTTCTTGGCCACTAGACTTTTGCTCCTATCCTTTGATTATTGCATTAAACAACATAAAATCACTACCTCCATCTTCGAGTTATCTTTTCGGTTCCATAGAAAAGATTTTGCTTTGGTAAGTCCAAAAGGTGTTCCCCCTACTAAGTCTCTTTGGCATTTTCTGTTGTGGGCTTTATCTATATCCCAATTTTGTGACCCTCTTGTGGGTTTTTCCTAGAGACTACTTTCTTGGACTCACCTTATCATTACATCAATGCCACCTATTTCCCTTAGGTGTCTTTTCCACTTGGTCACCTTGACTAAGTCACACTCTTACCAATAATTCAAATTAACACTTTGAACTAGAAATCTTATTTTTTAACCAAATAAAGACTTTGTCATTGTTTAGCCACAAGATCACCTAGTGATCTCATCTTGACACCCTAATAAATCTACCAATAAAAACTAGGCCTTTTAGACTTTTAAGTTATTAATTATGACCCTAAGGGCATCCCCCACACTTGGCAATGCACCCAAGCTAGCCCTTCTAGCCAAGGATTCATAACAACTAAGACTGGGTGTCCCCATTTCATTCACCATGTTCATGGTGCCACTTTCACCAAAGTGTTCAAGTTAAATATGTCAAGCTTTCACACTAAATAATCTAACTGTGTATCATGGCTCTGGGGCATCTCTCGTTTGGTAGTGTGCCTAAGTTAATCTCCTCACTAGAGTCCATGACCACCAAAAAATAAGTGTCCTCATATTCTAAACCATCACCACGCCCTAGTGAGTTGGGACTCGAACCCAAACACTAAAAGGTTGGGACTCGAACCTAACCTTCGTATATGCATTTACGAACGGCATCATCCAGAATGCCTAGCATGATTCCCACGCCAATTTATACCCAAAACGCACCATAGATCACAACTTAAGAACTTAATTTCTCCAAATTGCTAATTCCTCTCACTTGACAAGTCTGTGATTATGCATAGACTCTTCTATTCTTGACCCTATAGGCCAACCTTTTTTAAGTCATCACCTTCAATTAGGTCTTTATTCCCCCCAACTTGCTAATCTTGCTTTGCAAGTCACCCAACCAACGTAACATAGTTTCATGCATAAGCGTGAAAGTCATTAACCATCAACTTTCATTCAAAGCTATCTTTTTTAACACTTGGGAACACTTCTTCAACCTTGATATCCTCACCTCATGACAAGTTTCAAGACCACGCTTCTGCTGTGCCACTTTAATTTTGTGCATTTTATGAACCATTTACACTTATCTTTCTAGATACTAACCTACCTAAAATTGTCTTTGGGAACTTTGAAGGGACTTTGTCCCTCAGCTTGCTAAGGCTTCTCCTTTCACAAGCTTTTTAATTGCTATATGGTCTAACATAGACAATTCTATACTTTAGACTCTCTTTGGCATCATAGTTGCTAATAGTAACACTTTCGAGCATCCACTTGATTCTCCACTCCTAACTTACATAACCACTCTCAATTATGCCCTTTAATTATTATCATTCAGTTCTATTCCTTTACTACTTGTTTTTTACTTCACACATTTCCTTTAGTTATTCTCCTCCAACCTAAGAGTAATTTTGCACTTTCTACCATACCTTAATAAGTATATCTATGGATGAGCCTATCCAATAGCCTAAAGAGTGGTTCCTCAATCCAAATATGATCATCTTGTAATCTCACACACTAGGATTAATGTTGCTACTTACAGGTTTTCATATGCCCGTCATTAGCCTTGCCAAAATCCTTTTTAACTTTGTCTAGTTCGGATAGATGGACTTCTTCTATCTCCATAACCTTGAATGTTAAATAGCACCTTTTATCTATTATTCAATAAAGATTTAGTCCCTTAGGCCTTATTTAATACTCTCATGATATTAAATACCACTTTTTGGTGTTTTAAAGTGTTTAAGTGTCCCACTAATGGCCTTTTTAGACAATGAGCATTTCCCTTTTCAATATTAATTTACTATATTGCAATATAAACAATTTATCCCCCCCACAGGATATATCTAACCTCCTTATCCCAATAAAAAGTTTTAGGTAGTTAACTTCTACTAATCCAATTAATTATATTGCACCTTTTACTTAATTACTTCATAGTTATCAAGTCCTACAACTTATTGCTGGTGCTTCCACACCTCCATCATTATTTGGGTCACCACATTTTAACCATACGCTAGGCTATACCATTCCCATTTCCAGTGGGATTCCTTTGGCAAGGGGTTTTTATGAACCCACTAACTTAACTTTAAAGCATCATACCTTGGCACACTTGGTGTTTCCACACCATCAGCTTTATAAGCTTATTTATACAACACTTTTCACTTGTGTTTAGATCTTTACCAATACCTAAGTAATTGTTTTTCATGCTAACTATCAGTTAGCATTGTACCATGGTGTTCATACACAACTTTGTGCCAAAATTATTTTTTTCTAAGAACACCTTTCCCACGACTTTAGTATAACATATTTTACCATCAATAAAATACCCATTGTTTTTATACTTGGATTTTATGATCCTCTTTATCCTTCATAAAGTGCACCACCCCTCAATCCAAATGCTTCCACTAGTCTTTTGGGACCATTTCTTGACTCTAATTGAATCATCCAACTTTTTGGATTTTACTAATTCAATGACCCATAATGTCCTAGCCTCACGGCTATTTTTGAGGTCTTAGTTCACTGGAATATAATTTTTTCGATTCATATCCTACTCATAAGAACTATCTTTGAAAGTGTTACTCTAACACTTGATTATTTTTCATTATCTGTAGATTACTTTTGCCCCTTAGGATTATTTGTTCATATGATGAAAATACCAATTGATCCTATAAGTACACTTCCAACTCCTTGGGTTATTCTAGCATTTATTAAAAGTAGCCCTGGCTATCATTTCAAGGACTTGTGTCCTCTTTCATTTTTGATCTCCCACAATCATTAATTCTTGTCTCATATTCATAAGCACTATCCTTAATTATATGAGGATAATCCTACAACTCCTTTATTATTTTAGAGTCTTTATCTTTCTTGTGATCCCAACTATAGTTGTTTACCACAACTATATTAGCCAATTTGATAAGATAAACACTCATCTGGATCACATCCTTAATTCTCTAAAGAAAACCTTATATTACTCTTAAGATCCCAAAATCATTCTGTTATTGGCACTTTTCCATCCACCACATTGCTAACATGTTTACTTATGAACTAAGGAAGAGAGTCATGCCCTTTCAACATGCTACTCCTTGAGGATAAGCCCACTCCTGGGACCTTCTAATACAAAGACAAGTGGCAACCTATAGCTATATTCCCTGCTATTGAATAGTAGCTATGGACGAGAAAAGAATCGAAGCCAACTGAAATGCAAAAGAAAAGAAAACTCTAAAAAACCAAAGTTTAAATTTCAAAAACTCACATTGGATAAATCTTATGGACATAGAAAAGTCTTGGTGATGGAAACACTTAATGAGTAAGTGATTGCTACATAGAATGTATGAGACATATTTTTAGAAGCACAATCCATTTTTTTAAGCATTTACCTTTGGAGTTTCCACGAGTTCTAAATCCATTTGAGTTTCCTAGAAAAAAGAATTTAACTTGGAGGAAATGAAAATTTTAACTTACCATGGCATCCCTAATACTTTGCTTTGCAAAACAATGAGAATTCTAAATTGAAAATGATGTAAAAAATGCTAAATTTCCTAGAAATCCATTATGAATATAAATATAAAATTCTCTAACTCTTGGTTGCACCCTTAATGTTGTTATAGGTGCTCTTGACCTACTTGATTATCCTCTTGAGAGCTGGTGTAGTGATTCCATCTCTTGTGAATTTTTTTGGGCACGCTGGCTGTAGCATTGCCTCATTCCTTGCCAAACCTAAAACATTTTATTTTTGATTGCCACATATATGTCTCGGGTTGACCTAGAGGATCCCAGGCCTAGAATTGGGCCTGGGGCATTCCTAGGTCGACTGGACGGAAAGGGCTGTATATAACATGAGAGGATTTGGAATTTACTTGAGTCCCCCTTGCATGTAACACTTCTCTTATGAGATGGCTAACAGCTAGGAAACACCAAAGTCTTTAGAAGTGAGACATTTGGGAACTGGTGGCGGCTTGTCTAGCTGATTATACTTGCAGAGCAGCGAGCTAGTAACTTACTCTTGGAAATCTTGAAACTAGAGAAAAGTGTTGAGAGCTGGAGATGCAAGAATGTTTGGCCTTTTCATTGGTTAGCTCTCACAAATAAAATCATGCACTTGAGAAGCAAAATTTTTAAAGTTCAAAAGAAGAGCATACCCAATTGCATTAGTCTATTGAGCTAGCTGATAGGCCACAAGAGAAGCTGGAAGTTCCTTTCTTGGTGTCTCTTCAAGAGACCTCTCCTTCTTGACTTTCCCATGATTATTGGAATGCAACTCTGTTTTAAACTCAAGGACATCTTTTTTCCTCACTGCTTCTAAATCCCAATTATCATCTTCTTGTGCAATTGGCTTAAGCATGCTGGAAAATGGCTTGTTGTCCAAAGCCACATTGTGGAAGGGTAAAGGCAAGTCATCCCACTCCAGAGAAGCTGGAGGAGTACTTACAGTAGGAAGTGATAGCGAGGGCAATGCCTCAGATGGCCCATGCTGCTTTAGGGCTCACAAAAGTGGCCACGAAGGAACTTGGCACTGGAGAATGTGCAGGGAGGAATAGGGAGAAATGCAAGCGGCCAAAATGGCTTGAGTGGCTACAGTTAATATAACAGGGCAGTGGCATTAAGGCTGGGCTTTGTGATGGCACGTGCTTCAAACTGGATCTAGGCCATGGTAGGGCAAGCGTTTGGAGTAGGGACAGGGGCAGCAATGTGGCACTGGAATTCCTGGTAAGAAAGGGCAGCATGGGTGGGCTGTGGTGTTGGAGCTGGACACTGTGCTTGGGGAAGAATTGGGTGCCATTGCTTGTGCAATTTGAGCTGCATGGGCCACAGCTAGGGCAAGAATTGCCACAGCATGGTTGGACAACTTATGTTTGTGTATTGATCACTGGACCATTTCTTGGAGTAGGGGAACATTGTGGAGGTTCACTTTGGCTGCCTGGATCGCAACGAAAATGGTGAGGGCAGTTGTCTTGGGCATGGAGGCCATGCATGTTATAGATGCCGCAAATGGGCTGGTACTTAACTGGTGCTTGTGCATTCGGACACTTGGCAGCAATGTGGCTGGGCTGTTGGCATGGCTGAGCTGAGGTACTCAGTGCTTTTTTTTGTGATTGTTTCACCTACAGTGTTGGCACTTAACTTGAGTTGGTGCAAAACTTGGGCATTCACTAGGATAATATCTATATCCCTTGCAACAAGTATTAGATGTTCTCATGGTCAATAATAGGCTGAGGTGGTGTATGGATTCCTCAAATCCAGTTAGTTGAAGCTCGAACATTTTTTGGCAAGTGTTTCCAAGTTTTCATATACTTTGGAGATTTCTTATGATTGTGGCAGAGTTGAAGAGGAAGTGGCCATGATAGGAAGTACATGCTGTTAGAGGTGGCTGTAATTGATGATTCCAGGAAAAGGTAAGCTCACTAGATCAATGAGTGAAGGATATAACTGTGACATTGCTAATGTTTGTAGGGACAAAAAGGTTAGCAGGATCACCAGAGGACCACCATGGAGTAGAAAGGCTGCTAAAAGCAAGCCATGCTCATGCAAGCTTGCTCCCAATTGGAAGTTGTAGAAATAGCCTCATGTGATATGTAGGAGCAAGTTTGAGTTGCTTGTGTACTAGATTCCTTAGCTATTTTGCACACAAGAGTGTGGGTCAAACTCAACAAGCCACTAGATGCAAGTGGATATTAATTGAGCCATTTATATTTGCTCTATGAACTCCTAACACTTCCTTTACTTGAGCTTGCATCCCACTCAAGCATACCAATCTATGATATTAGGAAAGAAAGAGTGTTTGAGATCCTTTACATCCCAAATCTAATGTGGACCTCCTTTACAAAGCATGGGTGACCTTTAGGGAGTTGTGTAAGCTTAAACTTGGGTGTAGGTTTAGGTGGTTCTTTAACCAATAGTTCACCACCTACTTGGATGTTACAAATATGATTGAGGGTATTAAATGTTACCTATTAGCAAGTCTTTTCATATATTCTCTTCTTACTGCCACAATAGTAGACCATTGATATTAGTTTCTGCCCCTTAGGGCCTACATACTAAATAGACCAAATAGCTAGGTGAAATGCTTGCCATTTCCAGAATTTACTTATAATTTTTCACATATGTCCTTGGGAATGTCTCTATTCCAAGCATTATATTGTTGGTAAGTCTAGCATGGAAGTGGATAGCTCACTACCTTTGAATGTTAAGAAGCATCTGCGGGGAATACAAGAAATCCAGCAAAGCCAAAATTTAAGTTATGGTGAGAAGAAAGCAGCAATAAGCTAGTGCCGCAACACTTTTTCCCTTCTATCAATATTTAAAACTCATGTTAATTTAGACTCACAACCTACATCCTTGTTTAATACCACATATAAGATGTCAAATTCACTTTGTTCATCCTTCACATCTTTTTTATCCCCTCCTTTAAGGAAAAAAAGTTAAAAGCATTAACTTAATTCGAACTTGTTGTATTTGTATTCATTCTACCATTTATATTTGGGCTTACTCTATTATTGCATTTGTTTGGCCTTACTATATTAGGGCTAAATATTCTATTCAGACTTGATATACTCGTCCTCACTCCATAATTCATATCAATTATCCTCACTCTACTATTATATCCACTCATCTTTACTTTATCGTTGGGGCTGGACTCTCATACCACCTCTAGCCCTTCCTCTGAAGAAAAAAAGTTTGAAGCATATGGGAGGTTAAACTCACTCTTTTTTGAAGAGCAAAAGGTGAGAAAATTTGAAGAAGAAAAATTATGGAACAAAAAAAGATCTAGAAAGGAATTTTTAGCAATTTATAAGCAACACTCAAAAAATAATTTATAATAGTTCAAATATAAAAGAAAAAGGTCTATGAATAAAAGTGCATTTCTGTTTCCAATCAATTAAGGGTATTGGGATATTTAGGGTTACTCTAAATTCATGAATTTACATTTTGTGTTTAATTTGGAAGCTTATATTTGGTGTCCATAAACTTCTCAATAGCAATGATACACAAAAGCTCTCAATAATGACAATGGTACATAAAAACTCTTAATAATGACACTCATAAATAAGGACACACATTTAACTTGAAACTCTAGCCAAATTGACACAAACAAAACAACAAAACAAGATTTTTAACTTCATGCATATACTCAATATCTAAATTAGTATGAAGAGGATAAAAACAGTCAACCTAAAATTATAAAAATCATAAATGATCGAAGAAAAGGAAATATTGCAAATGAAAAAAAAAATTAGATGGTAGATTAAATGATTAATATTTTCCAAAAACCACACTACATCATCCATAACTTGCTAAAATCAATGTCAAATTATATTCCACATTAATAGAAGATGGCAAAACACCAAGAACAAAAAAAGTATTTAATCACCATCTCACATAAGCATAGTAATATGATTCTACCCCACAGAACTAAAAGCTTGATCCAATAAAGTAACATTAGTGACATACTCCTTAATAAATGATAGTGTGGTTTGGCAAAAAAAGGGAATGCAATGAAGATCAAAAGAAAGAACAAATTTAAACATAGTAATAGCTAAATTCTTGATCTTGCAAAAAATAATGTAAATTTAAATTTAAAAGAGAAAGAAAGGAATAAGAACTAAAGCACAATCCCAAACATGAAAGCAAAACATTACTAAAATGCTTTGCCCTCTAGAGATAAATTATAATGCCCCTCTCTTCCACTAATTCATGATATATATTAATTGGGGTTTAGACTCTTGTTTATATACAAAAATAGATGGATAAAATTTATTCTATTAATTAATAAAAAAATTTACTATTTAGGATTATTTTTACATAGCAAAGTAGGTCTACTTAGTAGAGTTTTGTAGGCAAACGCTCATGACACGTGGAAAATCACTCTTACAATTATGATTGCACCCGGGTCAAAGCTTAATCAATTCTCCAAGCTAGAAACAATAAGTGCAATTTCTTATGTTATTACCTTCCCACACCGGCCCCAAAGGCAAAGGTGGGAAGTCACACCACAATCGTGGCAAATGGCAAGAGGAGTTTAGAGGTTTGTTTACAAGCTCGAGAGCTCGGGCAAAATTCCTTCCTTGGTTGCCATCTCGTAAATGGCAATGGCCGCAAGAGCTTTGGCGTCGGCAGTGTACCTCCATAGCTTTCGATACGGTGCCACATGAACCTTGATGAGCTCGCCATGCTCAACCAGGCCTTGCTCTTGTCCTTGAAGCGCCGAGAGAGCCTGCGTGAAAAGAGTATTAAATTCTTATTCTTCGATGGTCGTGGTACCTCTGGATTTATGTGACCTCTGTACAGTAACAGTGTTATTTCTTCATCGGAGCCCCCCTGGAGGAAGGGCACAGGAATAAAAAACCACGCACTATAAACAAAAACATTTTACCGGTGATGGGAACATCTTCTGTCCTGTTTCCTTGTCCAGGAGTGCGGTTAGATCGATCAAATCGGAGGTTTTTATGTGAATTCCTGTCTCCTCCTCAATCTGTAACCACAAAGATGAGATGGAAACGAAATGCAGGCACAGATACCTCTCTCGCAGCTGTTCCAACAAAATCTCCTGCGTCGTCATCTAACATTCCTGCTGGTAATTCCAGGATCACACGACCCACTGGAACTCTAGCCTGAGATTTGTTTTTTTTTTTCCATGAGATAGCAGCGAATGAAACAGAAACTTCTTACTTGCTCGGTGAGAACGACATGTTTCTCCCCTGCGCACTCCAGCAGCATGAGTACAGCCACAGCACCACCTCGACCAAAAACAACCCCAGGAAGCTGTATAGTTTTTAATCAACAGAAAGAAAGAAAGAAAACACGGCAAGAGATACCTTTGCTCCAGTTTTCTCGTCCACGACGTCCGCTTTGAATTTCACAAATCCCACACGCTTTCCAAACATATCTACACTCTGCATTCGTCACGCTTAGATCTCAGCTGTTTCCGTGGCAATGAAGTATTTTAGCTCACCTGGATGGTTATTCCTTGAAGAGAGCATCGAGTACCTCGTTCGTCACTCAAGGAGAGAATGCCTGCCGGACCAGTGATCGTCTTAAGCCACCGTTGGAATGGGATAGATTCCACCGCCGCGCTATATCGTATCACGGGATCAGCGCTACAACATAGAGATGGAAATATTTTACCTGACTACACTCTCTGGCATTGCAGAAATTCCCGCGACCGAGACGCGCCTTCCCAGAACCTCAATCTCCACGGAAGCCACATCCACTGTAGGAATCCCCTGAGAGCTCATCGCCGCTCGAATCCTTGTCGTCGAGAAGAACTTCCTATCGAATCCAGCCAGCTTTTGGTGCTGCGAGTACGTTCTAGCGATCTCTACGCACGCCTGGCCTGGACAGAGATTGAGAAAATCCTAGTAGTTTATCGCTATTTAAAACACAGCTTACCACGATCAAGGCCGGGCGAAGGCGCAGCGCCATCACTTGGAGCGAATGCCCTAGTAGACTACGTTTGAGGTTCGAATCCAGTTTATACCAATCAACGGTCACTTTTAATTCTCCCGCGCTCCCAAATATCTCTGGGGGAAGGGATTCGAGCCTGCGACTCTCTGCCGTTACGTACTCTCTCAGTTAGGCGAGGAGCTGGCTTTGTGGTAGTACCCTAGGCGGCAAAGCCAGCGCCTGTCTTTCTCCTCGGTCCTGTGGCCGGGCTCTGGATCTGAGGCCCGATCGGTCGATTCGCGTTGCGGCGAGGTAAGATTTTGCCAATGGCACTGTTGTGCGAGTCTCGGAGATCCAGGATTTGTGCAGGCATCGGCGTTCTTGAAATGGTGTGTTCTTGAATCCTGATCGACGCGGCATGGATTCGGCGGAGGTGAAAGACGATGCGGCGGCGGGGACGGCGGCAGCGCCAGCGCAAGATGAGAAGACAGAGGTCGCCAAGGACTTTTTCGTGTCCGAGGGAGAATCCGCGGGGGATGCTGGTTCGAAGAACGAAGAGGAGGGCACTCTGAAAGATTTTCCGGAAGAAGAGCTGGATTCTCGGAAGGAGGAGGTGAATCTTTCGGAATCGTTGGAAGGGGTCGCTGATGAAAAGAAGGGAGGGGTGGATTGGCCGGAAAAAGCTGCCGCCTTGAAGAATTTCGTCAAAGAAAGAGGGATCGTCGTCTCCAAGGTGATCCGGAGGTTGTCCGGGAAGAAAGAAGATCTGGAACAGGCAGTGGAGACACATAGTAGCGAGGACCCAGTGAAGCCGGACGAGAAGAAACAACGATGGCCCACGCTAAGCTTTCTCAAGCCCAACGTTCCGAATGAGCAAGAGCCAATGGGGAAATCTATCAGTGAATTCGAGGATGAGATGAGCGTGACGGGGAGAATTACGCTCTTTTCCAAGTCAGGTTGCCCGGACTCCAAGGCTGTCCGGTCGTTCCTGAGGATAAAGCACCTCCCGTTCGTAGAGATCAACCTGGATTTGTTCCCTCAGCGAGGCTTGGATCTGGAGGAGAGGACTGGAACATCGTCTGTTCCACAGCTTTTCTTCAACGACGAGCTTGTGGGTGGTATGGAGGAGCTCAATCTGTTGCAGCAAAACGGAGAGCTCGATGAGAAAATCCAAAAGGTGAAGGAGAATCCATGCCCAGAATCGGCTCCAGGTCTTCCGGTTCACTCTGAAGAGGAATCGGAAAATGCGGTTCCAGACGAGTTTGCGGAGGTTGTCCAGAAACTCAGAGAGAAGGTCCAGCTCAAAGACAGGTTCCTCAAGCTTCGTCTCTACAGCAAATGCTTTCTAGGCTCGGATGCAGTGGAGGTTTTTGCGGAAGATCAGTACTGTGAAAGAGACGAGGTTCGTGTGTTCTTCATTAGATTTCTAGTCGTTGCTTACCTATATATATGTTTTGCAGGCTGTTGAATTTGGAAGGAAAGTTGCAGCAAAACACTTCTTCCATCACGTTGCACAGTACGTCTCTGTGACTTTGTTTTCTCTTTCTTTTTTCTCCTTATTCCTTTTTTTTTTAGTGAGAACTTGTTTGAGGATGGTAACAACTTGTACCGCTTCTTCGAACATGATCCTGCTATTGCTACCAAGTGCCTGAACTTTTTCGGTGCTACAAACGACTTGGAACCGAAACCAGCTGCCGACGTTGCCAAGAAGCTCATGACTCTGATCCTTGCAACCTATGATCGTTACATCTCCGACGATGGAAAGCATGTCAACTACTATGCTATCGCGGCAAGTGAAGAGTTCCGAAGGTTGGCTGGTTTTGCCGAAAAAAAATTCTTTATGCTAACGAGATTTCTTGCGTTTTATAGATATGTGAAACTGACTGAAGAGCTTCACCGGATCGATTTAACAACGCTTACCAGAGAAGAGAAGCTGTCCTTCTTCCTGAACATTCACAATGCGATGGTCATCCATTCCTTCATCCTGTATGGCCGTCCCAATGGAGCGCTGGAAAGACGAACGTACTTCGCAGAAATCCAGTACGTGATTGGCGGGTATGCATACTCTCTTTCGGCAATTCAAAACGGGATTCTTCGTGCGAATCAGAGACCGCCATACACACTGACCAAAATCTTTGGCGCAAAAGACCCGCGTCTCCAGGTAACTCCAGCTGATTCTTCTGCGATCGAAGCTTACTCGTATCAACAGGTCGGACTGGAAAAGCCAGAACCACTGGTCCACTTTGCACTCTCGTATGGAACCCAGGGCAGCCCAGCGATCCGGTGCTACTCCCCGGAAGGAATCGACGCGGAGCTGCGGATCGCCGCGCGAGACTTCTTTGACAGCGGTGGGATCACGATCGACTCGGAAGCTAGGACCGTGTCCCTCAGCAAGATCATGAAGTGGTAACTGGGAAAACTTGTATCGATTTCCATTTCACTCACTCTCCATCCGCTCCAGGTATAGCAGCGATTTCGGGAAGAACGAGAGGGAAGTGCTGCACTGGATCGCCAAGCACATCAATCCGACCAAAGCCGAGCACCTCCTCAGCCTGCTCGAGGATTCCAACGTCCGAGTGAACTACTTTCCATTCGACTGGTCTCCAAACATCTAGGAGGAGAAAGCGAGCTGGTGGAGTGTTTCTTTCAAGTAAGAAATCGTCCCATGCAATGCAATGGAATGTCGTTAGAGCGATTTTTTTTAGCTAGAAATAAATGTATGTCCGAAGTTAACAGCACTGTGTTCTATGGTTAAAAACTATTATTTTCTCTTTTTGGTGGTTTGTATCTGCGGGGCGGTGGAATGGAGAATGGAAGAGGCTTGTAGCGCGCAAGGGCTAGGGCGGCGCTGATCGGCAATGGCGAGCTCCGCGATCAGCCGCGAGGTAGGCTCCTGTAATCTTTGCTTGCGCACTCGATCCATCATCGCGGCGCAGCTTGTGGCGCGTTCTTGGATGATGATCATCGATCGCCGTGAATGACCTAGAATCTTTGTCTCGGTTTCTTGCTCCAGCTAGGGATGCGCTTGCTTTGCTCGCCTGGATCGTCCAGCATTTTCGTCCGAGCTGCCAGGTGTAGTGGGCCTTCTTTTTTCTTCTCACTTTTTCTACTTTCTTTGTGGCAGTGTCGCGTTTGGGCTTGGATTTCCTTTCTACCTGAGCTTCAAAGCGCTCGAGAAGAAGTGTCAAGAGGATCAAGAGCAATGGCTTGTTTACTGGTCAGGTATGAATCGTGAGCGAAGAAAAAAAGGAAAGGAAGTCTATATCGTCTTGCTCTGGCATGATTTAAATCTTTGATTCGACTCGCAGTGTACGCGTGCTTCAATCTCGTGGAGAAGTTTACAGACAAGTTGATATCATGGTACTTTTTTTTTTCTATGGATATTTACGAGTTCTCAATTCTTTCCAGGTTTCCCTTCTACCATCATGCAAAGCTCGCATTTCTGATGTGGCTCCAGCTACCAAACAACTATGTAAGTGGTGTTCACAGTTTTCGTGCCCTTCCCTGCGTGATCTCATGTCGAAATGGTTTTGGCAGGGCGTAAAGTATCTGTACTTCAACTACGTGCGCCACTTCCTTGTCAAGCACCAAGCTCGATTGGACCGAATTGTTGATGCCAGCAGGAACGACATGGTTAGTGCGTGCGTGCGTGCGACAAAGATTAGGAAAAGAAAACCAGAGAGGAAGGAAAACAAAGCTTTCAAACCGCGCTTTGTCTGACACTGCTGTGTGATGGTGTGTGTGACAGAACAATTTTGTGACTGCACACCACAGGGAGATTCAAGCGATTGGAAATGTCGTGCACAAGTTCGTCATGTCTGGTAATGCTCTTATGTTGGCTTTCATGGCTCGTTTTAACATCTGTGGCTCCTCAGCCTACCGGACTGTAGAGGAAACCGTGCGTTTCACACTCTACACTCCGTCGGACAGATCTCTGCCCGAGGACGATCCCTGTGAAGGACATGCTTGACTCCACAGCAATTTTGGTTAATTCTAAATCTTTTTAACTTTTTCTTGTAACCTCTTTCGCCTACGCTGTCATAAGCTACATTGGCCGGTCGCCAAAGCGTTTCAGGATGTCCGGAAAGATCTCGCAACGCTGGACCTGGAAATCGCGGAGCTATGAGAGGTGACGTGGTGAGACAGGGATCAAAATGCTTTTTTATAATAGCTAAGCATAATATTCGGGCTGTACATTTCTCAACAAGCTAAGCTGTAGCATTCGTGTTGAAGAAGCTAATTTTGCAAATACGAGAAAAACATAAGATAAATTGATCACAAAAGTACAAAGAAATTTAAGTATTACCTCCTCAGATGGAGGACCATCATCAAACTCCTGTGGCAGACATCACCAGAACAGTTTCCTGTTGGTTGCATCTGGAATCATATTCAATGGAGAATCCCTGAAGATACAAAACAATCAGACAAGCGAAACAAGCCAACATAAGAGTATTGTGGCCTCTTGAATGTTGGCTTCTTGCCATGGGGCAAGCATTGTGAGAGCGGATTTCGTTCAGCATAGGCTTTCTGTGCCTCCTCCAGCCGCTTTCCCTTGAGGTAAGCAGGGAATTCTAAAACATCTGGCGAGGAAAATATGTCCGAGAAACAGATGAGAATTATTTGCTTACATCTCTATCGTAACGAAATCTTTCAATTGGATAAATCCCATATTCCTTGTCTCTTTTATTTACAGCATCGACTTTCTTCTCAGCTAACAGGTTCAATTAAAATTACAAACCCTAGGTTCATTTTTATAAAAGAGTTCCTTTTATCTGATGGTTCATTTCAAATATTAAGTAACAAACAGCGATGGTGAGCAAGGCTCTCTCTCTCTCTCTCTCTCTCTCTCTCTCTCTCCCCTTTTTGGGCTGACAACATCTTCATTCTGCAAGTAAAGAGTCCATCACTCTTGGAAACATTAGTTACCTCTTTCAGCTTTTGAAACAATGTCTGCAGCAAGGTGAGAAAGAAATCTGCAAGTTAAAACACGTTTCCCCAATATGCAGATATGCCTTAAACTAGGGGCAGTACCTCCTTGTCTCCTTCTCTGTCAACCAGAGAAAATGAAACACCTGTGCTCTCAACATTTGTCCTGATATATTGTCTCCTAAGCTTTGATGGGCTTCTGGCTTAACTGCTTCAAGCTTGTTTATATCTTGGGACCTGTCTTTGGCATGAGGCATTTCCTACCTTACTAAAACATCCCTGGTATGATCACTACCAACTGTAAGCAAGCTTTTTATATTTTGCATTCTTGCACATATCAGGAACTGCTGGGAGAAGACATAGATGAAGCATCTTTACCTATGTTTTGAATTCATATCATGCTATTCTTGGACAGGAAATAATAGAGTGTTATGAACAAATTTTGCGGTGATTATGGACTGGACAAGATGAACTACTGGAGGATAAATCCCATGCCATGGTAAGTAGAGTTTGTTTTTCTTGTTATTTTGTACCTGGATTGACTAAGATCACCTTGTCCAACTTGATAAAAGCATGATACTCTTCTGGCCAAAATTCTTTGTGGTTGGATCTGGAGCCAGTGCCTATGTTGCTGACCAGGGACAGTGCCATATACAATCTGAAGAGAGATAACAGTCCTTTTTCATCAAGTCTTTTTAATGATTGACTCCAAACTTGGTGCTAGGCAATATAACAAAATCATTGGATGTGTATAAGGCACACACATGTGCAAACCTTGTGAAACGGTTCGAGAAAGATTTAATTCTTGTAAGTATGTTTTTCTCACTTATGGTCATGCATGGGCTTTTCATCTTGCCACATATGCATATTTTTCCAACTTAGTGCCATGTATGGAGTTACAACTTAGCTTCTTTGCCACATCAGCAAGTCACATGGATGGGTTTAGGGTTTACAAGTGAGAAGTACATGAACCCATTTTCATCATATTTAGTGTGCTGTGAGCTTCACACCTTGTTGTTGTGGATCACTTCGGCAAGAATCATGGACAAGGCCTTACAAATCATTGGAAGGCTACAATATGAGGGATTTAGCCATATGAATTAGTGTCGATAGATGCACATTGTATCGCCATCTTAAGAGCATAGGCTGGAAAGGGGTCTATCTAGTCAAGAGTGTAATTGAGGTTGAAGAGCTTCTTTGAGAGCTTCTTCTGCAACATGAGAAATTTAGGAAATTAAGAGATGCAAGATATAAAATTGGGTGTGAGGTGATAAGATCTGCATTGACCCATATTTACCTAGAATGAGTTGCACAAAAGAGACTAAAGCCAATTCCCCACATGCATTTCAATGTGAAGTCACTCATGGAGCTCTAATGCATTGATAGTAAGTGTCTCCTACTACATTAAATAAATTCTTGACTTAACTTCCTTTTTGCAGCTTTTTGCTTGGGGCATCTACTTATACAAAATTATCAATTCTAGTATATGTTTAAAGAGCATATGAAAAATGTTTCATATATAGTTTTGTTAATTTATATAGGGATGCACTACATTGCAAGCATGCTTGTGTCAATGAATAAGAGAGCTTTAACTCTTTATGAATACTACCACAGAGCAATAGTACAATTTGGTTGGCCGAAATGCATATGTGGTGATTGGGTAAGGGAGTTCAATGAAATAAAGATAGATTTGACAAATGCATAGGAGGGGAGTTCTATGTTTTTGCATGGTTCCTTAGTTCATAACTAGGTAAAACTTGGACCTTTCTATGTAGATGTGGTAATGACAACATTATATTTGCAGAGGATCAAGCACTTTTAGAGGGAAATATGGTGCAAAGTAGCTTGGTACTTCAAAACATTAGTATTGACTATAAAGTGCCATAATATGATTTACATAAGGGATGATTGGTAGGCATATAGCTTATATGATATATTTTATACTGATTTCTCATAACAGTTTGAAGAGCATATAAACACATGAAACTTGCACATAATGCACATTATCACAAAGAGGCTATACTCAACATATGTTGCAACTAGACTCTTCCAACCCAATAAGTGTAAGGCAAGGTGATGATCAATTTCACTGTTTAACACCTTTAACTTTTGTTTCTTGTAGTATAATCATGCCTCTCACAACAAAAGACATTGAGCCAATGATGAAGTTTATCTCCAATACGCCTTGATGAAGTATGTAAATATAAATTCATTCATGCATTGAGTTATTTTTTTGTAGGAGTTATTATACCTTTGAATAACATGTGCCAAAGCAATATGGAAGGCCTAGAGTTTGATCAAAAGGTTTTATTGCATCATGCACTCACATTGAAGGTTGGACAAGCGTCCCACATCACCCTTCTTGTGCATATGTACTTGGAACATCCCATTAGGTTCCCAAGACTACTTACACAATAAATGGAAATATACATGATACTACTTGAAGCTATATATAGGCCATGATATATGTAAAAAGCATCTCTTGACATATTTATAAGTGTCACACACATAACAAAAATTGTTGCCATATAAACTTGCAAAACTATTGTTACATAAATTTTGCCACAAATATAGGCCTCTATATACTATCTCTTTCTTAAACCAGTTAACATTCACCAAAGGCATACCTTCATTTGTATGCAAACTGCTTCATATTATAATAGTGATTCTCAACCTTTATGGTGGATAGGCAAGTCCCAGCCTTGGTAAGGCATGGCTCCATGTGTTAGTGTTCATCATCATCATTGCCACCTCAAAAAGGCTAGCACTCTCTAATTGCAAACACATAACCACTTTTGGCCATTAAAATATTTGTCTCTACACTTGAATGCTTGCAAGCAAATATTGAGAGATGTAATGAATTTTGAAAGTGTGAGGCTTACCTTCTATAAAGCAGATATATATATGTCATCTATGATGTCCATAAACTGAGTGTTGGTGTGGTGGATATTGTGCAATGGCAAAAGGTTACACATAGAGTATTTACAACTACCTTCGACTCCACAAAGAATATGCAATGCACAATAGATTTGATTATGTTCTCAAGCATCTACTAGTATCTAGGAGCCTGAGTAGGTTTTAAGCTCACAAGCTAAGCTCATGACTTCTCAAACACAGAAAAAAGATTGGTTTGTCCTGAACTAATATTTTTTCATCTTTCAAATTTTGATTTAATCTATATTTCCAAGTAAATTTGACTAATAAAATACAAATATAAATATAGATCTGAACACCAAAAACAATCTAAAAACACTTTTGAAGCTCCACAATTGTAAAATGGATATGATGGTCAATCTTAGGATCTTGGTTCAATTCCTACATAAAAATGTAATAGATATGCTTGTAGGTTAAATAAACCTTTACCTTGTTCTCCCTCTATGTGAAATTTGGATAGGCACAAAATGGATTTTTATAGATTCGTATAATGTAGTTAGCACTTTTTGACTACTTGATTACAATAATGAACTCTTTAACTATGGCATTGATGTAATTTGTTCTTGTGATTGTGCAGTTCAACTCCTTTGCCAACTTAATCTTTTATTACACACCTTTTGAAATGGAAGACTTATATTGTACAACCTTCCTATTTCTAGCTGGTTGTATATGCCAGTCTAATGTTGACATCGGTAGCATAGTAGCATTAATAACAACATTTGAGAAAGTTTTCAACTTGAAACTTGCTCTTTCTAGATTTTCAATCTCTTTTGTCAAAAGATTGCAACTTTGCTCAATTAGCCACTCCTCTGGCATAGAATTTGACTTTAAGATAATTGAGTTGTGGATTTGGCTCACAATAATAAATCTAACTTGACTAGTAGCCTTTCACCCTTAGATCTTGATAGCCCCAAAAGCATGGCACTACTGAAGAACTCAAGCCTAAACACATAAATATGAGACATTGATCTTGACTCCTAATCATTCTGGAGCAATGTGTACTACTTTTGGCACTAACTTTTTAAATTACCTAGTTGATATGAAAAATTAGCTTAGGAGCAATAACTTTCTCAATCTCTAGCACTAAATCTACTTATGTAACAACAAGCACCTCCTCCACTCCATGTTCTTTAGTTCTTCTCTAGTGTCATAGAATAAAATGGTAGGTAAACTTTAGATAGTGAGAGTTGGAAGGAGTGATGTCGAGCCCATCAAATGTCTATTTATGCTTCATATAGACTGTCCTCATGTCCCCTCTTACATTACAAAGTTACAACAACAACTTTGTCCACCATCTTAGACATTGACTATTGACCTCGCTGCTGATATTATCCTTCTACCAACCTGCTCTCGAAACTTGTTTTACCAGTTCGATCTATATCAGCAAACCTTGCTTCCTATGCAGCTAAATCTTTTGATGATT